TTCGGTGGAGCTCTCTATGATGCCACGAAACGCGCGAGGGGGGGAGCCGACATGGGTGCGGGGAGCGCATGTGGACGGTGGCACTGGAGCCTTTGGTGGAGCTCCCTTTGGTGCCACGAAGCGCTGTGCTGGGCGGGGGGGACAGAGGCAAGGATGGGAGGAGGGGGGGACGAGGGGGAGAGGAACGCGGGGACTGTCTGTTCAAAACGAGGAACAAAAACCCAACAACAGGCTGGTTTAAAGAAAACTATGCGCGCACACTCGTCCATCACAACTCATGAATCCCACCAGCCCTCTGGGCGTAGGTGGTCTAGAGCAGATCCTCTTCCACCCCTCCCTCTTCCCCCTTGGGGAGGGGTTTACCCCTCCCCCTACCCCCTCCCCTGGACCTGGACGGGGGGGGCCGCGGGTAGTTAGAGCGTCCCAGATGGCCCAAGACGGCTCCAAGAGCGCCTCAGAGAACCCAAGATGAGCTCCAAGATGGCTCAAGATAGCGCAAGATCGCTCGAGATGGCTCCTAAGATGGTTCCAAGAAGCCCAAAGACGGCCCCAAGATAACTCCAAGTGGCCAAACAGCTCCCCAAGGAGGCCCCGAAGAGGCCAAAATCGTCCCAAAACCTAAGGAAAATCAATGATTTTTGCTTTCTCGCCTTTTCGCTTCCGATGGCCATCCGAGGCCTGGAGATGGTTCCAAGATGGCCCAAGAGGGCCCCAAGAGAGCCCCAAAAGAGCCCCAAGACGGCCCCAAGAGCGCCCAAGAGCACTCCAAGAGCGTTCCAAGAGGGGTCCAAGAGGCGATTTTAGGGGCTTCCGAGGGGGGGCGCTAATTGAACCCCCCCTCTTGTTTGATCGATCTCCTCCAAGATGGCCCCAAGAAGCGCCCAGGAAGCCCCAAGAGGTCCCAAGATGGCCCCAAAATGGCCCCAAGAGGCCCCCAAGAGGCCCCCCGGAGGCCCCCAAGAGACCCCCAAGAGGCCCCAAGAGCCCCCCCAGATGCACCCAAGATGCTCCAAGAGGCCTCGGCGAGAATGCCTAATCATTGATTCTACACAGGTTTTAGCCACATGGAGGCCTCTTGGGGGGGGGCACGGATTAAGATGACTCCAAGAGCGTCTGGGAGAGCCCAAAATGACCTCCAAGATGGCTCAAGATATCCCAAGATGTCTCATAATGGCTTCCTCTGTGTGCTGCCCACTTCTCTGATCGAGGCAATTCCTCTGGGCATCGTTTCTGGATGGGCTGGTGGGGATTCGCGAAGCGACAACAATTGCAAAAACATCCTTGACACAAAAATGGAACGAAGTGCACACGCGCGCTTTGGGGAGAGAAACGCGGGAATTGTCGGTTCAAAGCGAGGACCCAAGAACACAACAACAGGTCGGCTTTGAAAAAAACTATGCGCGCACACTCGTTTATATTATCATAAATCACCAGTTGCAAAAACATCACTGTCAACAAACATGGAACGGAGTGCACACACGCGCGCTTTGGGGAGAGAAACGCAGGAACTGTCTCTTCAAAGCGAGGACCCAAGAACCCAACAACAGGTCGGTTAAAAAAAACTATGCGCGCACACCCGTTCATCACAAGCCATCAGTTTCAAAGAACCCTTGTCAGCAAAGATGGAACGAAGTGCACACTCGCGCGCGTGCCCAAATCATTCCAGAACCTTGGGGGTTCGTAAAGGTCCCAAAATCGACGGACCAAAAGAAAAGGTCAAAATCAAAAGGTTTCGCAACACCGATGTTCAATCCATCATATCTATATATATATATATGTACATATATATATGTGCGCGTTTGTGCGAATTCTTGAGAAAACCACAAGTGCTGCACCTTCGTTCTGCACATGCTACCAAGCGGGTTTCGCGCGCGCGCATGTCGAAATCGTTCGGACGCCCTTTGCGCGCGTGCCGTCGCGAGAAACCGTTGCAACAGATGGAACGGACGAAATGCACGCGCGCGCGTCGTCGCGCGCGCACGCCGAAATCCGTCAAAAACCTTCGGTGCCGCAAGGATTTCGAAACCACAAAAATGTCTCGCCGCACCAACTTTCAAAAAATCGTGCGTTCGCGCTCTTGCGAATGCTTAAGAAAACCTTTGGTTGTTCAGCATGTTCATGGAATTCGGCCAAGCGGGCCTCTGGCGCCGCATGACGAAATCATCCGCACGCCCTTTTCGCGCGTGCTGGAGATGGGGGGACACGATCCTTGTGAAATAACGCTGTGCGGGCCACTCTCGCGCGTCGGCCGCGCGCGTATGTCGAACTCTTTCCAAAACCTTCATCACCGACGCGAGGACGGCGTGATCAGCATCGGCGCCCACCCGCGCCGTCGTCGTTGTCAACATCGCCACCAGCATCGCTACTACCATCATCGTGTCTACCGTCGTCGACGTTGCCATCCGCCCAAGTCGCCGACTCGCCCTGAAGTGCACGCTGGGATGTGCCCAGCGGGCAGCGCCACCGCGGCCGCGCCGGTCGCGTCAAATTAGCTGTCTGCTGCGCGCGCGTGCGTGGGTTGGCGCGGCCGCAGACATGCACCAGCCAACGCCACGCACGCATCGCAATCGCCACCGCATGGGTTTTGCAACCCAGATTGCGTACTGGCGATGGGATGTTTGCAGAAGCGTGGGATGTGTCAACTCGTGGGTCGAAACCACTTGCACCATATATTGCACCACATGCACGGCAGCACATAGGTTGCATCGCATACAATGCACCAAGTAGATTGCACCGCAAATACGGCACGACACAGGTTACATCGCATACATTGCATCACACAAAGATTGCATTACATGGGTTGCAACGAATACATTGCACCACGTAGATTGCACCGCGTAGAGTGCATTACATAGGTTGCATCGCATACAGTGCACCACATAGATTGCACCGAATAGCCTGCACTACGTAGCTGCATCGCATACATTGCACCACACAAAACTTGCATTATATAGGCTGCCTCGAATACATGGCACCACATAATTTGCACCGCATAGGATACATTACATTGGTTGCATCTCATACGTTACACCACATGTACTACACCACATATATGTCATCAAATAAGTTGCATCGCATACAGTGCACCACATATATTGCACCGAAGAGAGTGCACCACGCAGGTTGCATCGCATACATTGCAAAACATCCAGTACACCGCATAGAGTGCATCACATAGGTTGCATCGCATACATTGCACCACATAGACTGCACCACATCTAGTGCATTACATAGGATGCATCGCACACATTGCACTACATAGATTGCACCGCATATTCTGCATTGAATAGATTGCATCGCATAATTGTACCACATGAATTGTACCACATAGATTGCATGAACCTACTGTTTGGGGCCAGCGCTGGCTAACATTGTCTGTCCACTGCGTGAACTCTCGGCGCCTTCCCCGGGATTGTTTTCCGTCGTATTTTTCAGCGGCCCCCGGGCCCCGAGCGGGCCGAGAGCGTGGAAACAAACGGTCGCCACTCCTGTTCTTTCAAGACGTTGGAGGTTTGGGTGTTTGGGTCTGCGTCCCTCACAGCCGGCGCGCAGACACGTCCTGGGGCCCGTTCCGAACAGGATTTCGAGGCGCACCCGCCGTGGCCACGAGGGCGCTTCGGAGGCCCGACAAAGAAAACAAAACAGCAGCATGAGGAATAATAGCCCCGTGCAGAGCTTACAGGAACCCCACGAGAACCTCACATCCGACGCCGTTTTTATCCACAGCTAACCACGGAGGCCTGCTGACCTCTTCCACGGTGCCAGCTTATCGTCCTGAGCCGGATTTTGACAGCCCCGTGGCCCAGAGGTCCCCTGGGCCCCGAAAGCTGCAAGAAGCAACCCGCCGTGCTCTCTCTCCTCCACGACGCGAAAACCCAGACACCCGACGATGCAATGTTCTCGATCCGCGCCCCAGACGTATTGACGCCTTCCCCCGGGGTAACTGTCCGCCGACGGAGGCCCAGCAGAGAGACAGAGAGAGAGAGGGAGACCATAGACGCGTCAGGAGTGCGCTACACCTCCGGCCTTGCGCCAGGCTGTGGAAAATACTATATCGTCGTCAGGCGTCGTTTCGACGTTTGTGCTGTCCACCTTGCGTTCTCGCAGCCGGGACCCACTGCCACTGCGCCCAGCTCAACGCTCTCCCACTTCACACCGGCTGTCTGCGCAGACGGCGATCTTGTCGGTCAGCGCCTTTTCCGCTTCAGCGCACCGTCCACTACTCCACTGCACACCCGGTGGCAAGCTCTACACTGATGTGCGTAGCCCGCTGGATGTGAGACACCGAAGACTCATCTGGCAGGCGCCCAGCACGCACCATTTTGCGTAGCATGCTGCGCTGCGTCGTGCGAGGCTTCATCTCTTTGTCCGCGGTGGGAGTCCAAGTTCCTGCGGCATATAACACGCTTCGGGTGATGCACGCATGGAAAAATAATGATAATAATGATAATACTGTGTTCTTCTTTCTTTTTTACAAGAGCAAGAAAATGCATGTGATGCGGAAGAGGCAGACGTCGCTGGCATATAACATCCTTCAGACGGGAAAACGCTGCCCACCCGGCAGAGGAGGGGCCCCAGAAGCCGCAGTCGAGGGAAAACGGCCAGATTGAACAAACAGATCGTCGGAGATCTGCCTCCTGAGGTCATCCCCGTCCCAGGCAGCTTCCGGGGCACAACTCCAGCCTCCGGCGGCCGTTCGGGATGATTCTGGCACACCCCCGGGCTGGCCTCGACGAGGCGCAGCTGATTGAGACCACCCCAAGGGGCTCGGAACCCTTTGAAGACCACCACCAAAACCTCCCGAACCCCTCCTGCCCTGGCGGCGCCCCTCTGGCCCAGGGGAACGAAGAATGACATAAACATCATAACTCGGAGGTCCGCGCGGATTCCTCGGATCGGCGCTGGACCCCCAACCCTGGCGCGCGGAGCGCGCCAGGGGCGGCGCCGGAGGCGCCGCCGGGGGGCCCCCGCGCCGGACCTCCGAGCCATGATCTTTATGCCATTCGTCGTTCCCCTCGGATGGCGCGACGGGACGGCGGAATGCAAAAAAAACCGAAGGAATGCAAAAAAACCGAAGGAATGCAAAAAAAAACCGAAGGAATGCAAAAAAAAACCTGTTGCATTCCTTCGCCGCAGGGTCTTTTTTTGCATGCCTTCGGTTTTTTTTTTTTTGCCTTTTCTTGCACTCCTTCGCTCCAGGACGAACCTCGCCCCGCCGCGGGGTCCGTCGCCGCGGAGAGGTGGGTGCCCTCCCCGCCGCTGACGCGCAGGCTCCAGTCCGCCTCGGCCGCCCGCGCCGGCTCCAGCACGCCGGCGGCCGACAGCCTGGCGCGCCGGCGGGAGCGCGCTTGGGCCCCTGCGATGTCGGCGCCCGGGGGCGCGCGTGTCGCCCCGAGAGGGGGGGAGGAGTCGAGAGCGAGAGGAGGGCGGCGGGGGGGAGGAGGACGAGGAGGAGGAGGAGGAGGAGGAGGAGGAGGAGGAGGAGGGGGAGGAGGAGGAGGAGGGGGAGGAGGAGGAGGCGAAGGAGGACGAGGAGGAGGAGGCGAAGGAGGGGGAGGAGGAAGGGGGAGGGGAGAGGAGGGGGAGGCGTGGGGGAGGAGAGAGGGAAGGAGATCGCAGCGTCTGGGGGGAAGAATCTCCAACCCCAGGGCCATCCAAAAAGGATCCTGGACGCATAACTACCCCCGGGGAAGGGGTCTGCCATGGAGCTCTGGGGACGCGGATTGGCAATCCAGTCGGAGGATGTCTGGCGAGGCGGGCATTTGCCCATAACCACCGCACGGGGGTCAATATTCGAGGGGACCTCGGCGGGCGGTGGATGAAGATTTGTGGCGCCCCCAGGGCCCGAACATGTCCACATCCACCGCCTGCCGAAGTACCCGAAGATTGATCACGCAGGCGGTGGTCATGGAGAAAGCCTCGCCCAGGAATCTAGGGGGCAGAGAGAGAGAGAGAGACAGAAAGAGAAAGGCCTCACGCGAGAGGACAAGGCGATTCGTGGGCAGCTCCAGAAGTTCGGCGGCTCTCGGAGGCGCATAGTCGACTTCCGCCGAACTTCTGCCTCCGGGGTCGACCTCGTTCTGCTCCCGCTGGCTCCTGCCGGCCGCGGGGGACGAGGTGCGCCGAGAGCGAGGCCTCGCCGGGAATGCGCCGTACGGCGGCCTTACGCGGTTGCCGACGCAAGCCGCAGATGCGGCACACCGCGCAGGAGAGGAGGGTACTCGCGCACGAGTTTGCGCGTCCTCCTCCTCTTCATCCCCCTCCTCCTCTAGAGCCAGCCCGCCCAGCGGCCGCGTTGGCCCCCCAGCGGCCCGCCCGGCAGCCTCGCTCGCCGCCCTGGAGGCCGCGTCTCATCAAAGGGTACACAAGGCACTGAGCCAACAACTAGACACTCTTCTCTAACAAATTCGTCACAGCGCAACGGAGAGAAGACTGGACAGGACGGAGGGGCAAGCGAGCGAGGAAGGAGAGGCAGGAGGAGAGGAAAAGCAACGGAAAAGAATGAATGAACAACTTGCCGGGCCGCCTCGAGACCCCCGCACCACTGCCTGTGGACGTAGCCCTGGTCGGCGCGGGGGCGGGCTCTGGTTTCGTTGCTGGCGGACTCTGCTAACCGCTGCAAGTTTAACCAACCCGACGGCCGGAAACGAAGCAACGGGCCAGACCATGCGCGAACGTCGTGGCCACGCTGGACGTGCGACTGACACGTTATAACTGAGTTAGGCCCACGCATGGCTCCACAAGCCCACCTTTGCGGCCGAGCCGTTCGCCAACTTGCGGCGCCGCTGGCGGCGAGACTCAACAGCCTCATAGCTACTAGGTCGAACTGCCGTCCACAAGCCCACCATCCTGCGCTGGATGATGTTCAAACGGTCGGCGCACGGTTGCTGATAGGGCCCCTGGCCACCGGAAGGAGCCGACCGGCGCAATCGACGACTTGAGAAATGCCGTGTCCGAGCATTCCAGAAAAGCAAAGCGCCCTCGGAAAAGTTGTCGAAGAAGCTGCGCCACTCCGCTCGGCCTTCCCGAAGCATGCCTTGTCACTGCCGTTGTCCTCCAAGAAAGCCCATAGCATCGCATGACGTTGCGCTGCTGCCTTGGCTGGGCGGCAGCGATGACAGCGCGATAGCCCCGACAAACAAGAAATTCGGTCGAGCGTTCGCCATATTGTAGCCGCCAGTTCTGCGCGAGGAACAACCCGCAATCTTCCAAGAGAACGCCCGCGGCCTCCGGGGAGCGGCCCGGGGCCACCCGGTTGTCAGCGTACGTGTCCAGGGGCATGCAGACGCCGTCAGCGAGGAAGCCTCGCGTCTTCCACTCGGCCCCCCGCTAGAATGCAGCGTCAAGAAGTGGTACTATCCCGGCGGAAGACGCTGACTTGCTACCTGTCGGGGCCCCGATGCATCGGCGCGGGATCTCGGCGATCACGCCCCCGACTCGCAGGCTCGCCCTTGGACGGAGCTGAAGTCGCAGGAAAGTTGAAGCCAGCGGACTACCGACGCCAGTCTTCACCATCCAATCCCTGATGAGAAAAGGGCGCAAATGGTTATGGGACTGCTTGATGTCAGCCTGCGCAACCGATGATTCGGAAAACATCTCAAGGCCCTTGGGAAATGCGATGTTCATGAAATGCTGGCATATACATGCACACTGCAGGAGGCAAGGGTCCGCCTGGTTCTTTATCCTGTCGAGCATGGCATTCATGCGACAAAGGACTGGCGGATGATCAAAACAACCAGCAGTGGCAAAATTGCGCGAAGACGGTCGGAACACACAGGGCCATGGCCCTTGGCTGCGACCACGCCGATGGTGCCAACCTCCGCGAGCATGCCTGCGCTGCTAGCAACCTTGGTCAGGAGTAGGCCAGCCGCCTCGCCAGCACCCTAGCCAGCGATCTGTAGGCCCATCGCACTGCAGCCGCAACGATCCATAGCGCGGCGGCGACGAACATGCATAGCGCCATCCTCAAACTCACCCGTCTCGAAAAGATGCCCTTGGAGGCCGAGGCGGAGAAGGCGCCCAGAGGAATCGTAAGAAAATACAGGTCGTCGCCCCCGCACTTCTGCATGAACTCGCTCCTGACGCACGTCGCCCAAGAATATTGACTTGTCGTTGCGGGCTTGCTCCTCGTCCCCATCATCATCATCATCATCATCATCATCATCATCATCATCATCATCATCATCATCATCATCATCATCGTCACCACCACCACCACCACCACCATCATCATCATCATCATCAGCATCATCATCAACATCATCATCAGCATCATCATCATCATCACCACCACCACCACCATCATCATCATCAGCAGCAGCATCATCATCAACATCATCATCATCAGCAGCAGCATCATCATCATCACCACCACCACCATCACCACCACCACCACCACCACCACCACCATCATCATCATCATCATCATCATCATCATCGTCATCATCATCCTCGTCATCATCATCATCATCGTCATCAGCATCATCATCATCATCATCATCATCATCATCATCATCATCATCATCATCATCATCATCATCATCATCATCATCATCATGTATGCAATGTTTGCTGGTGGGTGTGAAGGGGGGGTACAGGCCGCCCGCTGGGCCGCGTGGCATCGAGAATTTCTCGGTCACCCGCTGCATCATGGCCAGAGCCCTGCCGCCCATTGCAGATGCCATCTCCATCCGAAGGAAATATACGGTAAGGGAAGCCATCAAGGTAGGTTGGACTCTGCGAGGGGGCCAGCATTTCTGGATGCCGATGGGCCCTGGCGGTGGCTTGGGAACTTGAGCCAGTCTTGAGCCAGGTGGGGTGGTGCTCGTGTCCGTTCATGTCAACGCGGGGGTCGGCATGGACGCGACCAACGCCCAGCTGCTGCGCTCCCTGGCAGCATACGTGGCCATCCTGCAGGCGCGCGGCTAATGATGGCTGGGCGGTCATGGGCGAAAGGAGCATGACCACCTCGGAGCTGGACCAGCGGTAGATCAGCACGGTGAGCTGGAACATCGCGGAGCCCGACGTGCCGACGCGCAGGAAGACCCTGCCAACCAGGATCGTCGACTGCGCAGTGTGCCGCGGCACCCTCCTGCTCAGGCTGGCGACGCCGCCTGTGGGCGAGGCGACCCCACTCCCAGCGCGCGCGGCTGTCCACCTGCCGCCGCTGGCCTAGGACCGCGTCCTCTGGCAGCTCGCCCTCATGGGGCCCGCGTCGCTGCCTGTCCTGAAGGCGTGCTGCGCGAGGCCGCCCCCAGCCGGGGGATGGGCTCAGCTCCAGCGGCGCATCGGCGGCGCGCAGGAGGACGCTGCCCTGCAGACATACTTGAGGGGGCCCGGAGGCGCGCCAATAAATGCACACAAATCCCTGGATTCCCCATACTTTATCATATTTTCTGAATTCTCGCCTCCCACACACACACACACACACTTCCCATATTTCCCATATTTTCCCGTGAATCGACAATGACTTGTGTGTTTTTTACCTCCTGAATGCTGGGACGAGGCCGCGCGGCTCCTGGAGGCCGAGCTGCCCGACCGCTGGAACATTGCGGACCCGCGCCTGCGAGTGCGCTTCGAGGGCCGCGCAGGGCAGCCGCAGGTCAAGTGGGCCAAAGGGGAGCACGTCGACACCAGCCTGGTGTCGACGCTGGTGTCGACGTTCGTCCGTGTGCGGGCGAGGACGAGGCGGCCGCTGTCGCGGCGGTGGGTTGCAGCAGCACCCGCACGAGTGCGCGTTCGGCCTCAGGCACGGCTACTCGTCGGTGGACTCGGCCTGCGGCCACAACTTCACGACCGGGATAGCCCCTCTGCTCGGCGAGTCCAGCCTGACGATCATCCTTGGCAGCATCCTACTGGGCCCGCTGCTGGACGGGGCCCATCGGCTGCGCTACCCAATGCGCCGGTGCTGACAGCTGATTGGCTACTTCAGAACTCCGAACGGTTGCTGGAGTCGAGAGGTGTGCGCCAACAAGAGGATCCTGGCGGGATGCACCCTCGGTGCGGGTCTGTTGACGGTGCTGCTGTACGCGGCACACGCCTGTTGTGCGCGGCGGTGACACGCCTGCGCCAGATCGCGGACAACCCTACGCGCCGGGGGCGCCATGCCCCAGTGGGTTGGCGAGGCGCTCAGCTCAGGACGCCCGGCTTTACATCGTGCTGCGGCTAGCTTCATTGCTGAGGTTGCGCTGCTGGGCATGGAGGTCAAGGCGAGCATGTCGGGCTGGCTAGCCACAGCCATGGCTGCCCAGCGGGCCTTCGCCCCCGCTGCCCGCCGGCCTCAGGGAGCGGGCTGGCACGCGCTACTTGGGCCATGATGCCCCACGGCCGCAGCGCGCGGAGGGCGATCGCCAAGGCAAGGCTGGCGGCGCCGCGGGCCCGTTGCCGCGCTGCAGCGCGCGGCGGGGCTGCGCATCCAGGCGCCGTGGCGCACGGGCCCTCTGCCCTCCGCTGCCCAGGGCGCCGCGGTGGGCGGGGCCTCGGATGAGCATCTGGCGCGCCTCCGCCCGATGGCGGCCATGCTCTCAAGCGGCAAGGGCGGGGTCAGTGCCGACTCCATCACGCTGCGCCTGGCGACGCAGAAGGGCGCGTTCTCCGATCCGATCTACGACGTCCTGAAGTTCCGCGACTTCTTCTGGGACGGGCGAATGCTGCTGGCGCGCCCGCGGCGGACCGGGCGGTGGCTTGAGGCGACGTGGCTGGAGTGCAAGCCCACCTGGCATGGGCTGCGCGGCAGATGGCGGCGGCGTGGATGGGCATGCCGCGCGTCGGCTGGACGATGCATTCGAGCCTGCTGTTGGTCATCGGCGATGTCGAGGTTATGAGGCTGCTCCAGACGCCGCCCAAGGATGTCACCCACCTCCCGCGCGGGGGTCGCGCGCTAGCGAGGCCGGCAGATTCTGAGCCACCGCGATGCCGTCCCGCCCGAAGTCGCGCCTGGGCACCGCGCCATGCGCAGGAGCTTGGCCCCGCCCAGGGCCGCGCTTGCTGGGGCGCGCGCGAGGCAGCTGCGCAAGCTGTGGGCCGGCGCTTCCTAGGACCTGGTCAAGCGGCACGCGATGGGGCACTTGGCCAAACTGTTGCGCCCCTTCTGCCATAGCGAGGTGCACCAGTTCTACGAGAGTGCCGCCCGAACATCGTTGAGACGGTGGGCGACGAGGATGAGGCGCGCACCAGAATGTGCGCCCAGAACGTTCCGGAGGCACTGCGCCGGAACATTCTGGAATCAGCCCGTTCGGTGGCCGCGGCGTCCTGGAGGCGATGCCCGAGCAGGCCCTCGAAGTGCGGGAGCGCCTGAAGGAGGAGGCTAGCGTCGGCATCGCCCGGGCTTTGATGCTGCCTGGCCTGAGCTCTGCCGCTGCGGATGGGCCATCGCGCGCTGCTGAACGAGCACAAATTGCCCATCGGGGCGGCGTTTGGAGCCCTGCCAGTCAGAAGGCAGGCCGTTGGCAGAGCCGAGCGCTGGGCGTTCCTGCACATGCTGGAGTCCTGAGCTTGGCGGCGCGCGCGGCCAAAGCGCGGACATCTGGCGCGGCGTGCTCGACTTGACTGACGGGCTGCCCAAGCCTGGTGCGACCTGGTGCCCTGCTCATAGGGGTACGGGCTTCTTCCTGCACAGCGGGGGACAGCGCGACCTCAGCGACTTCTACGGCAATGCCTGGGCTGACTTCTTCGCCAAGGTTGGGATCCAGCTGCTCGTGCTGCCGCGGACGCTGCATGACTTCTTTACGATGAACCCGGCGGATGCCAAGGAGGAGGCCTAGCTGTTAGCGTGGCTGATGGCGGCGGTGGGCACGACCATGGACGACATCCATGAGCTGATCCGAAGAGGAGACGCCCGCCTGCCCCCACTGCACCTGCACAGTTGGTGCAGCAAGGCCACGAGCTGGTCCGACGCGGGTCGAGCTGGCAATGCGCCGCCTGCATGGCCCAGGCAAGTTTCGAGGCTGCGCGACGGCGCGTGGAGCGTGCGGAGTGGGCGCCCGCAGCCGTGCAGCGGCTCATGGCTCGCGCCTGGGCCCGGCCCCCCTACTCCGCGTCCTCCTCGGCCTCTGCCACGCCATGGCCCGTGACCCGCGAGGGGGCATCTTGAACGCTTCGAATGCGGCGGATCGGGTCCCGGGAGCCGCAGTTGGCCATCAGGGGTGGACGGTCGCGAACAACTGGATGCTGGTGGTGGCGAAAACCCCGGGCCAGAATGTTTCTGGGCAAACTGCGCCAGAACGTTCTAAGCCCAAGTCGGCCCCGAAGGTGCCCTGTAGGGCGCCTGCGGCGGCGGCGTCTCCCAGGGACCAGCTCGACAAGCCATTCTCCGACACGAGACCCTCCATTCCTTCGGGCCGTAAAGCCGTGCGCGGGGAGTCTGCGGAGGCTGCCAGGGACGCCGAGTGTCCTGGCAGCGGCAATCTTGGGGTGGCCCATGTGGAGCCCCGGGCGCCTGCTCTGTCTGGTACAGCCGCTGGCGTAGGTAGGGCTGTGCTTCTAGCGAGGCCGCGAGCGGGCCCGATACTGTGACTAGTATCCCTCATGCTACTTTTGTGTTCATTCGGGGGCACCATATGGTCAACGAAGGCCCATTTGTTACTGCCTGAACTGCGGGGGATTAGCATCCACTCGCCAGTCCCCTGTGTTATTTGCCCAGCGCACTGGCCCCGTAACCTTGGAGACTAGTAGACTGCGTTTCACGGCCTTAAGAATCTGAAGGCCAAATGTCACCCGCGAACTGGGATTCCCATAGGCGGTGACGCGCACGCGGCTGCGGGATCGCCGCGTTTTACATAGGCTGTCGTGGCAAACTCGTTTTTCGGCGGATTTATTTGAGTCGCGGGTCTGATTCCTCCTGCTCATCCTCATCCTTCTCCTCCTCCTCCTCCTCCTCCTCCTCCTCCTCCTCCTCCTCCTGCTCCTCTGCCTCATCATCATCATCATCATCATCATCATCATCATCAGCAGCAGCAGCAGCAGCATCATCATCGTCATCATCAGCATCATAATCATGTTGTTCCACCTGCTCCTCCTTCATTGTCCTCTTCCTCCTCACATCATCATCATCCTCGCTTCTCTCCTGCTCATCTTCTTCATCTCCTGAATATTATTAGTATTCATTATCCTCTTCTTCCCCCCCCCCATTCCATATGATTTCCTCCTCCTATTCCTGCTCATCTTTTGTCCGTCCTCCTCAGTACCCCATCCTCATCATCTTTCTTACTCCGCCTCATTATTCGGTATCGTGTTCCTCGTGCTCCTCATCATTATCCGGCGCCTGATCGATTTGATGCCTGGCGCGAGCTCTGGCTTGAGCCCTGCCCAGCCGGAGTCGTAGTTCAGGGCCTCGGCCGATAGGCCCAAACCCGCCCCCCCATGTAGTTCGCGCCGTACTCCCGAGAGGAAAACAGGGAGGAGGAGGAGGAGGAGGAGGAGGAAGAGCCTCCTCATCCCTCCGCCTCCGACTTGTTCCTGGATTACCTTCTGCTTCATCCTCGCCCTCCGAACAGGCCTCCTCCACCAACTTGATTCTCGATTGTCCTCTGTGTCCTCCTCGCCCTCCTCCCCCTCCGCCTCCCCCTCACGTTTTCTCAGTCTTCTCCTCTCCCCATCCTCCCTCCCTCCCTCACCCCCCCCACTTCTCCCTCCACATCCCCCCTCCTCCTCTCTCTCTCTCTCTCTCTCTCTCTCTCTCTCTCTCCTCCCCTCAAGCAGAGGTGGGCCACAACTCCGTACCCGTGTGGGCTTGACCGGATCATGTTCTGCCTAGCTCCGCGCCTCCACGCCAGCGCTTGAAGTGCACCCAGTCTGCCGCGCCGCGACTCGCGCAACCGATCCCGGTGGCAAAGCAGAGCGAATTAGGGCATTCACGCAGGAAGTCTTTACGCGGTGCGCCATCCTCGGCCGCTTCCACGACGGGCCCCTCGAGTGCGACGAGCGGCACAGTGGGCGTGGTTGTAACCAGCAGCGCGACTTCAAGCAGTGCCTTTCCGAGCAGTGCGACGTCCGCACCAAACATCTTCAGCTTCAATGCGTGTATCTCCCAGTGCCGCCTGGGGAGGGTCTGGCATTTTTCTGGTGGTGCGTTGCAATTGGTTTTGCTATCACATGGTATCATCAGCTTCATTGCGTGTATCTCCCAGTCCCGCCTCGGGGGTATGGCGAATTTTCGGGTGGTGCTTTGCTATCGGTTTCGCTATCAGGTCATGTTGGATTTTTGTTCCTCGGCATCCTGGGGAATGGTTTTTAGCACAACGTGCGCAGGAAGTCACAATCAATATGCTTTCGTGTCGGTGTGGGAAGCGGACCCCGTCCCAGCCGTCCTCAGCTACAGTGCTTTGATCAACTCGTGACTTCAATTGCAATGCTGGATCGGCTACGGCTACGGCTACGGCTACGGCTACGGGCTCCGCACTCGTAGCGCCATGAAGGCGCGGCGGAGGGGGCATCGAGGCGCCTTCTAAGGTACACGCGTGTGAAACAAAAGGTGCAGTGGCTGCGGTGTGTGCTTGGGCCATGGCTCTTCACGCATGTTGTTATTGTCGTTCTCGGTTATGGTGCATCCTTGGGCTTCTTGATCGGCATCTCGTTTTGTTGCAGCACGGTCGTTGCTGGGCTATGTCCCGTTCGTTTTCGGCGGCGCTATGCGTGGCGAAGCGTGGCCTGGTGCATGCTCTTCCTTTCTTTCTCTCTCTCTCTCTCTCTCTTTCAATGGCTGGGTGCTGGTGGGATGAAACTACACATTTAACTGTTGTCCTGCGAGGCTGCATGTGGAGGAGGCGATCTGTATGACATACGTGCAAAATCACTAGCGGCGCAAATCACAGTAGGGCCAAACCGAGCCGAGCTCATTTCAGTCAAGTTTGCTACGTTATCGGTGTGGTGAAGAATCCATATGAGAAGAGAAGGGGAGCCCCAGAGAAGGGAAGCCCCAGGCTCTGTGCGGGAACATCTCATCCCAGAGGTCCCATCGCACTCTCGCAATAGGCAGTGGGCACGAGACCCTGCGGAGGCCCCGTACACCGCGCGCACCAAATATGCGAGTCGGGGATATCCACCGCCTGTGGAACCGACGTCATGGTGCCCCAGCGGGCGGTGGATATGGATATATTTCGGCCCCCCGGGGCCCGAATATGTGCATATCCACCGCCTGCCGAGGCTCCGAAAACTGACCCTCCAGGCGGTGGTCATGTACAAATTCCCGCCTCGGAAAATAGCGCCTGTCCTCCTTGAAGGCAGGCGCTCGCGAACAAGCGGAGGCACTAAGCTGGACGACCTGGCAGCACGAGCAGCATTGGCATTGCCGCCGACCGTCTCGCCATGTTGAAGGCTGTGCCGGTCAGTCTGGTCATCCATCTTGCACGTGCCCTTCCAGCATCAGCTGGTCTGGAATTTTCCCTTCCAAAGTTTCCAAGGCCCTGGAGTGTTCACGAGTGGACAATGGAAACACTGTCAGGAGCCCCGTTCCAAAATCGTCGAATCTGAAGCTGTCATTCTGGTGCAAAATGTCTTTGCGAATGAGGCTGGTACCCTTGATTGGGCCGAGCGCTTAGCGGAGACCCAATGGTCGGGGCGACCTTGCCCAGCTTGCCCCAGAAAGAGGCCGTGCGAACTTGCTTGACTTCCCATTCAACAGCCGCAGAAGGGGTGGCACACCCACAAGCACCTAGCATCCGCCACCTTATGCATTAAGTATTCTTGTCAGGTACCCCACGAACCCTGTTTGCCGCGCTGTGCGACAGTCATGTGATATCTAATTCCCAGTCTGCAGCCTCATCCCTGAAATCAGCCCATGATGTCTAGGGCGCTTCACATCCCGAGTTCACATGTGGGCCGCGGACTCTACAGTCTGCGCGCGACAAGAAGGAAAGCTGAACAGGGAACGAAGGGGCTTTTCAGGCCGATGCGAGCCTCAGCCACGAGCAGGCTTGCCGACCTAAATCCGTGGGATCGGCCCCAGACCTGAGCCCCTCCTGAACCCGAGGTGGTCCCTGTTTCGGCGTCTTGGCTCTACCCATCCTCACTTGATTGTTCCTCCTCCTCCTCCTCCTCCTCCTCCTCCTCCTCCTCCTCCTCCTCCTCCTCCTCCTCCTCCTCTGCCCCTTCCACGAGACCGGACGCTCCGTCCCAAGATACCCCTCTTCCTCCGCGGGGGACTCCCGGCCCTCGCCCCCCCAATCCCGAGGAGCCCGTCCGCCCACCCTGCTACGAGGGGGATCGTCAGGGGGGGGAACTGGCTCAGAGGAGGAGGAGGAGGAGGAGGAGGACGAGGGGAGCGAGAAGGAGGCGGAGGAGGAGGAGGAGGAGGAGGAGGAGGAGGAGGAGGAGGAGGAGGGGGAGGAGGGCGAGGAGGAGAAGGATGAGTAGGTGGGTGAGGAGGAGGAGGAGGAGGAGGAGAAGGAGCATGAGGAGGAGGAGGAGGAGGAGGAGGAGGAGGAGGAGGAGGAGGAGGAGGCGGGGGGGGGCATCGACCTGGAATCGGCGATGCATCGCCGATAGGTCGGCGATTGGCTCTCGGCAGCGGAACTGCACGGTCCTGGGCGGGGTTAAGCTCGATGGCCCCTATCGGCAATGAGTGGGCGATTGGGGGTCGATGCACTCCCCCGTAAGCCTATTCCCCCCCTTACGGTGACCCTGATCCTACCCTCCACTCTGCGAGGAAGAAAAGGGATGAGCGGGTGACTGGAGGAGGCAACTCGGGGCCCAGATCCCCAACGGACTGATGTTTGCCCGTCCGTGAGCCCCAAGAGCTCTGAACCTCTTCCTGGGAGCCAGCTTTCCATCCTGCATCGTTCTCTGATTTTCCCGGGCCTGGCAGCGGCTCCCAAATGCCGAAATTCAGAAAATACACCATGATTGAAGAAATGTTCCACAGGCCTACAATCAGGTCGGGAATGTCCTCGTACAGGCGGATTTTGGATAAAATTGAATAGTCGTCCAAAGAAACAAAAACATTGTCAAAAAAGATCACGACAAACCGTTACCATGCTATGTTTTACCATTATTGATTAGTCCTCTTGCAGAGGGACGTGCCCGACCCAAGCCTAACGGGGAAATGGGGAGCAGCGAAAGGAGAGGGGGGACCACCGCAAATCTCCAGAAGCAGCCGACGACGGTCCCCCTTCCGAGGGCCGCGAGGAGTCCCCGAGGCCTCCGACGTCGTAGCCCTGGTCGCCACGCAGGCACACGTGAGCATCGTATAACCGATCCCCACCCCCACCGGCGTGGGCGGGGCCCCACTGGCCGACTGGCCCCCCTGGATGGGGATATGGGCTGCTCGCTTCGGGCTTCTAGGGGCACATCCCCAACTGAGGTGGTGACACGGTGGGGCTCGAGAGGCGGATGGGTCGGATGGGGATGGGGATCGGGATCGGTTCAAGGATGCTGAACACAGAGAGCTCTCGACACCGTCCCCCCGTGACGGGTCTTCCGCCGCGGGCCGTCTCTGGACGAAGCCGTGGGGGTCGGGCAGACGGCCGCCGAGCGCCACGATGGCGAGGCAGCCGCCTGCTGTGAGGCCTCCAAGTCTGGGAAGGCCGCCAAGTGCGGAGCCGCAGAGGTCCCCATGCCACGGAGGCGGCGCGTGCGCAGCCGAGGAAGGCCGCGCCGAAGACTGGCCAGAGGCTGGCCGGAGGCTGGCCGAAGCGCGCCGGAGGCCGCCGCAGGCCGCCGAGGGAGGACCGCCAGAGGCTGCCGAAGGCTGGCCGAAGGCCGCCGAAGGCCGCCGACGAGCGCTGGAGGCCGCCGAAGGCCGCCGAAGACCGCGCCACAGAGGCCGCCGAAGGAAGGCCGCCGGAGCGGGTTGAAGGACGCCGAGAGAGCCGCCGGAGGCCGAAGGGTGGGCCGCCGGGGGCGACGCGTACGTGGCCTCGCCCCCGCCGAGCCGCTGCAGCACCAGCAACGGCGCGGGGCCCCGGGCGGTCAGCTCGCCGAGGGCCAGGCCCCACTGGCCGGGCCCCTGGCGCGGAGGTGCGGGGGGCGGCGGGGGCAGACCCCCCACTTGGAGGCCTGGAAATAGGCACCAACACCAACACAGGGGTTTGCCCACACAGGGGAAAGAAAATCCGTTATTTCGGTGCTGGTGGTAATATTTCGGCCACCTTGGAAGACTGAATATTACCACCATCACTGAGATCGGGATCTTCTTCCTTCGGTGGAGGCACACCGCCGATATTGGTGTTGGTGTCAATCTCTAAGCCTGCGACCCACCTCCACCCTCCACACCTTCCGACCGCCGCGGAAGGTGCGGAAGAGTCTTCATCGAAACTCACGGGCACCTTGCGCAGGTTCAGGGAAGCCCACATCGAGAATATCGAACGAGGGGCGGAAGGTTACCCAGAGATCCGATGTCGTGATTTTTCTATACGCGGTCCCCCAAAGTCTCGCCCCATTCCCCAGAACCGGTTTTTCATCCTGAACCGTTTTTTGACGGTCCCGGGGCCCGGCGAGGGCCCCTAGAGGCTGAAAATTGAGAAAAACTTCCGTCTACATTTTTCAATACGTTGGGTCTCTGGGAAGGGGCGGAAGGTTAGGGCGGCAGGTCCGCAAGAGTGTGAGGGTGGGGAGACCCGGAGACCTCCGCCGGCAGGACTCTTCCGACCCGCGCGGTGCTCCTCGAGCTCGGCCTCCGGGGCCCGCCCATCGGGCCCCGGAGGCCACGCAGGGCGGGGCCGGGGCGGAAGGCCGGCCCCGCGTGAGGGGCCGGCACCTCCCCGGGGCCGCGGGTGCCGGGCAGCAGAGCGTCGGATGTCTTTCAGGGGGCCCAGGGGCACACAGAGAAATGCACACAGATGAGAGGATTCCCCATCTTTTCTCGTGTTTTCTGGGTTTGTGTCTTCCCCCCCACTTCCCATATTTTCCCATATTTTCTGGGGAATCGACGATGAATTGTGTCTGTGTGTTTTTTTCCCTCCTGGGTCTTGGTGGCGACGGTCCGCGTGCCCGAGCGGCGATGCGGGCGCCGAGCCCAAGGAGAGCCAGCGGGTGGGCGCAGACTGTCGCACCCGGCCGCCCCCCAGAGCAAGGGGAGGGGGGGGGGCACCCGGCCTGGCCCCTGGCGGAGGAGAGGAGAGAGGGAGTTGGAGGGCGGCGACGACGATCCTCCTTCTCCTCCTGCTCCTGCTCCTCCCTCCCCTCCTCCCCCTTCTCCCCCTCCTCCCCCTCCTTCTCCCTTCCCTCTCCCCCCACGTCCCCCCCTCACTCCCCTGCCCATCCTCTCTCGTTCACCCTGGGAGCGCGTGCGGGGTAGTAAGGGAGGAGGGAGACAAGGATAAGAGAGATGAGGGAGCCTGAACGAGAGAGGACGGCAAGAAAGAGGCGGAGGAGGAGGAGGAGGAGGAGGAGGAAGAGGAGGAGGAAGAGGAGGAGGAGGAGGAGCGACCGTACCGAATGAGTTCGGGGCTACGGCGCGGCAGCGCGATCAGCAGCCGATAGCGGCCCTCGCTGCCGCCAGGATTGTGTACTGAAATGTGGGAGTGGTGGGAACTCTCACTCGAGCATCATCTTCTGCCTTGAGTTTGTGATATCTGTGAAATTCCAGGACATTGAGTTGATACAGACGGGCACGCGGATACTCCAGCTCCAGATCGGGTTCCATATCCAGTCCGAGGCGAGTAATGGGGGAGGCGGGCAAGTGCCAACGAGGCAGAGCAAGAAGGTGAAGCAAGCGAGACCAGATAGGTAGTGGCAGAATCATCACGGACTGGGAGCTCGCATCCAAAAAAACAAGGCTGGAGGGCCACAGCTGGGAGTCGGGCTGATGTGGTCAAGGCGCCAGCCAACGTCTTGAGGTGTGCCCGCTCCCAGGAGGGCGCGGCTCTCGCAGGCATCCCACGAAGCGCGGCCCATCGCTGGCTGATCTCATCGTCAGGGAGTTTGGGGAGGTGGGGGAGCCAAGAGTAATTTACTCTTGGCTCCCCCACCTCCGTCGCATTTACCAAATGCGACGACGGAGGAAAGATGGGCATGAAGTCGGGGAACAAAAGCAGCCGGAGCCATCGATCCAACCCTCGTTGTGG